GGGGGGGGGGAGGCGTGAGTGGGGGTGAGTGTGCGTGTGCGTGTGCGTGTGCGTGTGCGCGGGGCGTGAGTGGTGATGCGAGTCGCATTCGCACTGGCCGCACTCGCACTGGCCGTACTGGCCGCGCTCGCCGCACTCACGCTTGCAATTGTACTCTGGCTGTCCAAGGTGGAGGCATGCCCGCCCAGACGTGCTTGGCATCGTTGATGACCGGCTCCGTGTCTTGAATTTGAATCTTGAGGTGGTCCCAACGCGCAACGAGCGGAATCGTCTGACCGCCTACACCGCCCCCAATGTCCACGACCAGACCCGTCACGTCTTTCCAAGGGTAATCTTCTGTAGGTCCGCCAGCAATGATGGGAGAGAGGGATTGCATGGCCAAATTGAAGCGTTGAATTCGACGCGCGTCTCCATCGGTGGCGTACAGGGCAAACAGATCAGGCTGCTGGTACTTGATGGAAATACCGCTCTTGCCCGCATTTTCCCTCTTTACGAGCTCGGGCACGAGTTGAACGGCTTGATTGGCTTCGTCGCGCGCATACTCTACCATGGCGCCCATCGGGATGGGCGATTCCTTGCGCAACACTTCTGTAAAGACGGTACCGCGCCACCTGTCGGACAGCGGCTCACCCTCTTCCTCGACGATGCGAGCACGCTTGAGCATCCTCAGCACGGATCGAAGACCTTCTACGTGAGCCCCGACCTTTTCAGCCAAGATGGGAGCCTCGATTCCCGCTGCTGACGAGTTGTTCGGCCCAGGCAGCACCTCTGCCAGACCCAAGGTGTGAAAGGCGTGCAATGCAGAGGATTCGTGATCTCCGCACAAGAATTCTACGAGGAGCTGCGTCGGGTTGAGCGTCTTGCTGAGTGCCAGCGACCAATCGTTGCGCCAAGAGTCTGCCAGGTGTTTGGAATCGGGCGTGTAAGGAAAGACCCAAGCTGCCGAGGGGGTGATGGGCGCATCTCCATCTTGCTCGGAAATGTACTTGATCAGGTTCTGGGGGGGGGGGGGGGGGGGCATCGTCGGAGGGGATGCGTTGTGGGCAACGTCAGTCGTCAGCAGCGCCCGCCGCGCGAAATTTCTAGAATGCCTCGCACCAACTCACATCGGTCGAGTCGCGCAACTGCTTGAGAGCAGCCAGTTGACCTTGCTTGTCCCAGGGCGCGAGTCCGCTCATATCGAAAGAGTGGGTGGTGCGAATGCGTGGGTGGGTGCGCGAGTGGGTGCTGTCGAGTGCGTGAGAGCTCGCGAGCGTGCGTACGTGGCGCGTCGAGGAATGTGAATGTCGAGTTGCGTGAGTGTGCGCTCGCGATCGAGGGTGCGTATTGGGGGGGGGGCCGTCGAGGAAGGTCGAGTTGCGCGCGCCTCGAAGCGTCGAAGGTCACCACCGTGCGAATGTGGATCGTCGCGCGGACCATGAAATGCGTAGCACCAACTCTGCAGCAGTCGTGAGTGAGTGTACGCGGGCGGGCGGACGAGCGGCCGGCTCGAGCGGCAATCAAAACTCGCAAGAAGACGCTATAGTCGGGCGTAGCATATGGATGTGCTGCATGGGTATGAGCGAGCGAGCGAGCGAGCGCACAGGGCAGGCATGCGGACCTGGTGGATCGCCGCTCGCTGGCGGTTTCTCCGAACAAGCGTGCACGTTCCCGCAAGTGAAACTTCTGCCCTCGAGATAAGCGCAAGCACGCACGCACGCACGCACGCACGCAAGCACGAGCGGGTCGAACGCCGTTGGCTCTTGTTGCCGTCGTTGCATTCGCGCGGTGCTTTGTTCTGCCATGCAAGTCCATGCATGCATGCACGCACCCGCGCTTTCGTGTCGTCGCGATTGGCATCTAGACGTCCAGCATCTCTTCTGAGGAGCCGATCGAGCGCGACGGCTGCAAGCCTGGACAAGGAAAGAGCGCTAACGCAAGGAGCGCATGCAGAAAGCAGATACTTTGTGACGCCCACCTGCGTCATTCGGAAAGTTTTAGGGCGAATTGTGAATGAATTCGGCCTTTCTATAGCGGGGCGAGTCAACGAAAATTCGGGCTTGCGCGCCCCCACACTAGCCCAGTGCACATCGGTTTCTCGGGACGGGCGATGGGGTGCGACCTTGAAGAGGATGTGCGTAGGTCCTTAAAGAGGATGGAGGGAAAGCACGCGTGCGCATACGTTGCCCCACCTCTCATCATCGCTGTCACTCACGACTTCATCACCCACCCATCTTGCGAACATGTCTGGCGCGAGCGTACCCCCCCTCACTCCGGTGCTCAATGGAGCTACCAAATTTGCTTGGATGCCCACCGACATTGCTCAGAGCTTTGCCGACTTTACAGTCTTTAATTCGGTTGCCCTCGGCATGATCGCTTGGGAGTGAGTCGAGAATGTGTGCGCCCTGTGCGTGCGTGCCAAGGCTGACTCGCTTCCTCGCCCGCTCGCCCGGCAGCGTCGTATCCAACGCCCTTTTCGATCTCGGCGTGCTCATCGAAATTGGCCAGAGCTTCAAACGCAGACCCACCGTAGCGCTGCTCAATGGCGGCGTGTACTACCTCTTGTCGCGCATCTTCACACTCGTATTCATCATCCTCGGCGTCGTCTTTCTCACCGTCGGCAGCGGAGTCGACTGCCAAGCGCTTTGGGATGCGTTTTCCATCATGAACGCGCTCGGTACAAGCTTCACTTCGTTGTTGTTGGCACTGCGCATCATTGCGCTCTACGGACTCAATCTGCGCATCACCGTGCCGCTACTCGTCGCTTGGGTCATTGTTCTCGGCGCAGACTTTACCCTACGATGGAGCGAGAATGGCTTGCCCTTGCCGGATGGTGCAGGCAATCAGCTCGGATGCGCACTCTCTCCCGTCCCAAAGTCGTACGGCTACACGAATCTCCTCGCCACGCTCATCTTCGACGTCATCTGCTGCGTCCTCATCTTTGCCAAATTGCGATCCTTGTCGAGCAGGACGGCCCAGGCTACCGGCACCTCGTCGTCGACCAAACGTCCTTTGCTGGATCTCGGCGAAGCGGGCAGCCTGAGCGGCAGAATCGGTCGTCAGACCATCATCACGTACACGATCACGAGCGTTTCTGCGATTGCCGCCTTGACGCTTCAAAACGTCTCTTCCCTCAACGGTCTGCAACGCGTCATGTGGCCTTCGACGCACTTGGTGCTGTCCAATCTCCTCGCATCGATGATGTTTCGCGATCTGAGGCAGAACAGGCCGACTTCGATGTCCACATGGGGCCGACCGGGTGTGGGTTCTGCAAGTCATGCGCCGAGCGACCCCGCCACGAGTTTCAATGCCAGGACGGCGGGACGCAGCTTCGATGTGCGCAAGCCTGCCGCGGATGGTTTCAACACTGCAGGTCACGTCAACATCCCCATGCAAGCGACGGCGACGGCGGCGCCTCCCTGGAACATTCACCAGAGTCCAGCATCTGCATCGTTTGATCAGATGCATGCTGGATGGTCCAAGGCGGATTTGTAGCGTGCCCGTGGGCGTGCGTGCGGTCGCGCACACAATCTTGTTCACACGCAGTCTCGTTTAATTCCATGTATTCGCGGTGTTCGCGCGAGCTATGTATTCGCTGTGTTTGCGGTATTCGCGCGAGCGCCCGCGCCCGCGCTCGCGCTCACGCGCGACGCCTCGCCACCACTCCTGCCATGAGATTGTGAGCATCTGTACCGTCGCTCTCGTCTAGCATCGCATCGCACATCTCGACGTACGCTTCGGGAGTGACGTTGGCGTACTGTGCGTACGCTGGAGCCAAGAGGCGTATCAAGCTGGCGTAATTTGTTGTCATGGCCCGTCCGTAAAGTTGCGTATCGGATCGACTCATCGACACGGGCAAGTGTGCTTCAAAGACGATGTCGAGCGGCGGTGTGGCGCTGACGAGCTTGCCGAGATCTCGAGCGGCATTGGGATCGCCACCTTTTGCACGAATGGCCTCTAGAGGACCGTATGCGTTCCAAAGGATCGTCTTGTCGCCCATCACCACGCGGTTCGAAGATCTAATCTCTCCGTCCGGCTCGAGGAGTTGTGCATATCCACCGGGTTTCAGCACGCGCTTGATCTCCCTCAACGCCGCGGGCCACTGCTCGATCTGGGTGGCGGCGGCGGCGGCGGCAGCGTGCGTGCGTGCGTGAGCAGGGGTCCCGTATCGCGCGCGCTCACATCAGACTCACCCGCAAGGCCAGAATCAGGAAACGCATTTGGACAACGTCGAACGAGGCATCATCGTACGGCAAGCGGTGCGACACGTCTGCTTGCCGAAAAGAAACGCGGAATCCCTCAAACGAGTCGACGCTGGCCACATCGCAAGCGTGACATTCCGAGTGTGGATGCGAGAGGCTCACAGACTGCGGGCGTGCGAGCGAGCGAGCGTGCGTGGGTGCGTGCGTGGGTGCATCAGCGAGCGTGAGCGTAAGACATTCGCGCGGGCGCGCGCACGCGCATTTCGCGCGCGGCATCCCGGACGCACCTTGATCCACGTCCCTGATCCACACCCCACATCTAGGACCTTGCAAGCGGGCATTTGCAAGGCTTCTCGAATCTCTGGCGCAATAGCTAGACCTCCAAATGTGCTGGTGAGAATGCCATGCTGCAGATCTAGTCGCTCGAATTCGAGCGCGTGCGATGGCAGCGAGTACATGGGAGCGGATGCGGTGCGAATGCGAGCGCGAGCGCGAGCGCGAAAGAGTGCCGTCGTGGGGAGAGAGAGAGAGAGAGAGGAGACAGATGAGAGAGGAGCGAGCGAGATGCGCGCAGTGATTGCGGTCTCACTCACACTGCCACATCGTTCGTGACTACCAGCATGTACCTCTTTGTTCGATCGACGGAACAAATTGTGCGTCTCCTTGGCGTGGGCGTCGGCATCATCACCATCGGTGCATAGAGTGGCGGGTGTCTTTCCAAAGTGCGCCCGCGCGTCGTAGGTTAAGTCACCGCGCGCGCGCGCGGCCCACGCTACTTTGACTGCTCAAATGCCTGCTCTGCCGCGCGTAGAAACGCACTTTTGCACCTCGCGGTCGTCTGCATCGCTAGCGCGCGCCACATATATGGTGGACAAGACCAAATCTTCGCGCGCGGTTGACGCGGGCTTGCGTGCGAGATTATGTACGGTAGGGTTAGCTGGGCGCTCAACGCTCGACGCTCGACGCTATACACATTGCGCGCAGCAGCCAGGTCGCGCAGATCCCGTCGTCTGCATGAGTCCAGATGCGTGCGCACGTACGATGCCGATTGCCCGCCGACCGAAACGCCGAATTCGTGATGCAGGCATGCTTCCCAAAACGTGCGCCCTCGTCCTCCTCCCATCCACCTTGACAATCACGAGTCACGCACGCACGATCAATCCCATCCACGCACACACGTACGCACGCACGCACGCTCAATCCCATTCACGCAACCGCCGACGCCGACGCCGACGCCCTCGACGTGGTGATCGTTGGCGGCGGCCTAGCAGGGCTCGCTGCTGCCCTCTTTCTTCGCGAGACGCACAACGTCACGGTACTCGAGCGCTCCTCTCGGCAAAGTTCAAACGACTCGACGGACAATGACGATCGAGATAATGTCCTGGTCATTTACGCCAACAGTTTGGGTCTGCTCATCAAGCACGGCTTCCGCGTAGAAGCGTTGGATCCGACCATCGTGGCGAAAATGTGGACGTTGGATACGCAGGACAATGTGCTGATGGCAGACGACAATGTCGACACGCGCAAATTGCGTCCGGATAAGCTCGCCAGTGTGTTGACTACGCGACTGCGCATCCACAATGAGCTGGCGAGATTGTTGGGGGAGGAGGAGTCGCGAGAGGGGGCGGAGGCGGGGGCGCGGCGGCGACCAGTGAACATCGTGCGCAACACAAAGATCCAGTCGGTGGATGTGAATGCTGGACGCGTCACTGCAGTGGATGGTAGAGAGTTTGCAGGCGACGTCATCGTTGGAGCCGACGGCATCAACTCGATGGTGCGCGCAGCTATTCAAGAAGCAGCATCAGCCCCCGCATCCTTGCCTCAGCATACCGGCATGGTCACGTACCTCGGCGATCTCTCAGCAGAGCAGTACGCGCAAGTGTTTCCTCTGCACCTCGCCCAAGACAATACCGGCCCCGTCGCCATTCAGCAATTGCGGCCCACGATGAACAGCAGACGGCCCATCGACGCGACCAACGATTTTCGTCGCATGTGGACGTTTGCATACGATTGCGACCGGCGCGTGCAGCTCTCTGCCGTCGCACCCGATGCCAAGTGGCTCTCGCGCATGAGCAAGCGAACCATCCTATCGAATGTGGATGCGCGAGAAGTGGCGGAAGATTTTGCAGATTTCGGCGAATCGACGCAAAAGCTGATCCAAATGTGCCCGCGATGGGATGTCTGGTTGCTGCGGGACTTGGACCCCTTGTCGACGTGGACTTTTGGCAAGGCAGTGGTCATTGGCGATGCTGCTCACGCCATTCAACCGCACGTCGGACAAGGATGCAACCAAGCCATCGAATCGGCCGAAGTGTTGGGTCATTTCCTCCATCGCGTGGCGCGGGAGGATGTGTCGCGCAGCCTCTCCTCGTTTGTGCGCCTTCGACAACCTCGTGCGCAGATCTACCAGATCGCCAGCAGGCATTTTGGCGGATCTCTACGACCAGAAGAGGAGGCCATCCTCGGTCAACCCATGGATCTCGATTTTGAAACCTACCTCCAACTGACCGCCGACTGGAACGGCGCAGAAGCTGCAGTCAAGGCTGGCAAAGTGCAGATCATGCCCCGTCACTATGAGCAGTTTGTGAAATTGGCAAAGTGACGGCGGCGAGCGGGCGTGCGAGAATTTGAATGTACATTATTGCGTAGAGATTTGTGGGGCGCGCGTGTGTCTATGCTGGCTAGGTTAGGCGCGGCTGTTGCGAACCTCGTGTTGTTGCTCAAGGAGGGGGGGGGGGGGGGGGGGGGGGGGGGGGCGTAGTGGCGGCGCGAGTCACCGCGTGCGGGTGCGACACCCGCCCTTTCTGATACCGTAATTTTCCATGTGACCCGGTTGGCAGCTCGGAGCTGCTCGTCTTTTCCATTCCCCAAATCGTTTGATATCCGCATCGCGATGCACGATTCGTCAACGTCGTTTCTAGAGTTGAGGGTGTTGCGCCACGCGCGCGCGCACGCGACTAGATTGTATTAGATCATTGTGCCGGAGCTCACACGCCCGCACTCACGACTATAAATGAAGATGTGAGGCGCGAGACAAGATGCAGTCGCTGTCACCTGCGCAGCTCGGAGATCAGCGCCTTGACCACCGTTAGTAGCGGTCCACTTCATCGCGCTCAAGCTCGCACCGTGCGCAGACCACGTGCAAGCGTCACGAGTAGGGGCTCACGAGGCGAGCACTGCTTTCACATTCAAGGTTGATCGTGCGCAGAATCAAGAATCTTTGCGGGCGTGCGCGCGCGCACTTGACAGAGGGCGTCGATGCAGCATGTGCGACCCTGAACGCACCAAAAGCGAGGGCGGTGCGGTGCGACGTGCAATCATTGAAGGCGGCAAGACGGAGGACTAAGCGAGACAGGGGACCAAGCGAAGCGGAGGAGCAAGCGAAACGACCCGGAAATGGACCGCATAACACAAAGAGGCCTGCGTCGACGTGATTTTCCTGACTCGCGCGAGTCAGGCACGGGATGATCGATCTTCATTTGACGGCATTGATGCATCGCATGCGCTCAAGGTTGGCAGTCGCCACCTCTACAAAAATGACGCTTTCCTGCATTGCCAGGTGAAGAGGTAGCCATTGAGTCGGCGTAACGAGATGCCTTTTCGGCGAACAATGGGATGATAAGAGCGCGCGACTTGCTGTTTGGGTCAAGATTCAGGGCGCCGCGCGCGCGCCCCATGACTAGGCTTTTGCTCGTTAGGTTAGAGCAGTACGGTTAGGGTTAGGATTAGGCCGCCGCGAAGTGGCCTTTTTTTTTTATTCTGGTCTGAAAGGGTGTGCATGTGACCACGCAATCGCAAGCACGATACAACTCGGAACAGCGAATGAAGATTTGAAAGACGCGCAAGACGCGGACACGCGCGCGCGCTCGGTGACATTCAGGTGGTTGTATTCTCATGACATGCCACGTAGACCCGTGTGTACGCAAGGCGGCAAGAGGTGACTGTGCGACGAGTCTGAGAACCGAGCGACGCAAGCAGGTGACCGGGCGAGCGAGGCGGCAACCGAAAACCCAAGCATCGCTACAAGGTGACTGGGCGAGCCCAAAGGCGAGTCTCGAACGAGCGACTCGCGAAGCTGTCAGGCAAGCGAGGCGGCAGCTGGGAATGCGAGCGATGATCGTGTGCGTCGTGTGCTGTGCATCGTGTGCTGTGCACGCGTCGTGTGCTGTGCATAATGTGCTGTGCGCGCGTGAGCATAGTGTGCTGTGCACGCGTCGTGTGCTGTGCATAGTGAGCATAGTGTGCTGTGCGCGCGTGAGCATAGTGTGCTGTGCATCGTGTGCTGTGCACGCGTGAGCATAGTGTGCCGTGCGTGTGCATCGTGTGCGGGTGTGCGGCGTCGTGTACGTGCGCGTTTTGAATTTGCCAGATCCTCTTCTGGCTGCCACGTAGCTTTGGACCCAATTGTAAGCAGTCTTTGGCGACGCTCCGATTTGTCGACAGGCGTCTTTCGATGACTGCACTTACTTTGTACTCTTTACCTTTGTTAGTCGACAGAATTGGGCTCAGCCTACAAAAGGTTCGAAGTGATCCTCGTGAAAACAGTGCGCATTTGGCCAGGCAGATCCCCACGCGCAGATCCAACACCTGAAAGGGTCCAATGAATCGAGGGCTCAGCTTGGTCGTCTGAAGGTGGTACTTGTTGACCCTGATTTGTACCCTTGTCTAGATGTCGAATGACGCTCTGTGGCTGAGCCATTCTCGCAACCACAATCCTGTACAAGAGGTCTGCAAGTCAGACGTACGCCTGTTGTGAGCCTATACATATGCCCCGAGACTTTTACGACGCAAAAGTGGGTTGCGCAGACAAACGCCCCGCCAAAAGACGCGTCTGGAGGTCCGCAGATCCACGGAGTTCCACTTTTACGCCATAAAAGTGCGCAGACAAAGTTCTGCCATACAAACGCGTGCTCTGCCATATGCGCGCTCTCGGCCAGTAGAGGCGCGCGCGCACCACGCGTAATTCATCCGCTGCATCTGTAGTCTGCGCGCGCGCGCGCCAACAGTCACACGGCGCATCATACACGCTGTACGCCATACGCCATAGCTGCCATATGCGCCATACGCTGCCATACAACGCCATACGCATATCATACGCTGCCATGGGTGAGTCCTTGGCCGGTAGCCGTAGCGCATGAGCTACAACCAGCCCAGGTGCGCGCTGATTTTGGCTGTGAGATCAAATTTGATCCCACACCCAGCTGAGCATGCACAATTTGGCTCCCCAAAAGACGCATCCAGACGTCTGCAGATCCATGGATTTCCACTTTTACGTGTAAAAGCGCGCAGACAAAACGCGTACCATACGCTGCCTTACGCGCGCGCCACGCGCTTGCCATACGCTGTCATACGCACCATACGCGCCAATTGCGCGCGGTTTTGGCTGTGAGATCAAATTCAATCCCACACCCAAGCCCGCACACATGCGCAAGTGTTCTGGACTACCCACAGGTCTTGACTGCCAGATCAAATTTGATCCCTTACCCAAGCACACATGGCGGGCACAGGTTCTGGCTGTGAGATCTATTTTGATCCCACTGCCAGCTGAGCACGCACGGCGCGCCCCTACTGTCATCTACATCTGCATTTGCTGCACAAGCATCACTATTTGCATCTGCGTTTCCTACGCGCACATCCAAGCACGCTCACACACAGGGTTTGGAACGCACAAGTGTTGGCTGTGAGATCAAATTTGATCGCACACCCAAGCACATTTTGTTATGCGCAGTCAGGCAATGGGCATCAGTGGCAGCAAGGTGTTTGCACGGTAATTAGTGACAGGTACTGAACAAGTTTGATGGAGAATCAGAGCAGTTGAGAGTCAGTAAATGACAGATTTTTTGAGGGAAGGTCAGTGCAGCTGAAAGTCTGTAAATGAGAGATGTTTGGGCAACTGAGAGTCAGTAAATGAGAGATGGTTTGGGCAGCTGAGAGTCAGTAAATGAGAGAGTTTTGAGGCAATCAAGAGTTGGTAATTTTTTTGTTTGTTTGAAGCAAGCATAGAACAATTGAGAATGAGCAAGCAAGAAGAGGGGTCAAGTTGATAAATGAGATTGCAAGTAAATGAGAGAGTGTTGGGGCAATTGAAAGTCAGTAAATGAGGGATGTTTGAAGCAAGCATAGAGCAAATGAGGATGAGCAAGCAAGAAGGGGGGTTAAGTAGGTAAATGAGAGTGTGTTAGTGCAAGTAAATAAGAGTATGTTAGTGCAAGTAAATAAGAGCAATGAATGGGGATGGAAGAAGAAGGTGAAGCATATGGTTTGGGAGAACAGTGGGGCATAGGGTTAGGGTTACAAGGGTGGGCCGTTTTAGGGTCGGAGATGTTTCATAGCCAGTTTGTAGAGCACATTGAGGAGTGTCTTGTGGCAGAAAAGTTTTGGATTTGCGATAGCTGTTTTTGCGTGAGGAGGTGCAAAGCGCAAGTGCGGGGTAATTTTGGCTGGTGGCACCTCTGAAATTTGGGAGTTTATGTGACCCTAGCAGGGTTTTGGAGAGGTTCCAAGGAGTCATTTAGCATGTGTGAAGGGTTTGGGATGGGGTCGCAAACTCATGGAGATATGGGCTTTCAAAGTGTCAAGTGTGTTGAGAAGCACTGAATGAAGTGCACCAAGGTGCACTGGGG